ATAAAAGGTAAAACTAGTAGCAGTTAGCATTCAGTAATTAAGATTGTATTGTGATCAGTCTCAGAGGTATTGATATGTTGATACGTTCAAAATGTTTGAACCGTTTATGGGAAGGGAACATTTACTATATACAGATATCAGCACAGGATGAGTTTATGGTAATTACCTTCTGACTGAACTTTGTAAAATGTGCTGGCTATGGCCACATCCTTTCTGATTTGGGGACTGTGGAAACTTAGGAATTTTAGTTCTTAGAGAATTTGGGAGACAAAAGTGAACCTAAGAGTTGTGGCTATGGAAAGACACTTACCTGGTGTTAGATCCGTAAGATTCTTAAGAGATTATAACTCATAGTAGATCGTTAGAAAATACAACTCCCCCCTAACCCCCCTAAAAAAAAAATGATGGCGTTCCCTTCAACCCCTTTTAGGATGCCGTGGATCTCCAGACACATTTCTTGGGTTGTATTTAGGGAAGCAGCAGACATCTGATCTTTTTTTTTCTGGAACTCTAGTTCTTACTTTTCTATTTTTTTTCTATTTCAGACCAAAGAAAAGTATGGGAAGGAATGCAAAGTAAGTATGTCTGTTAAAGAGTAATGATTTCATTTTATTTTCCTTTTCTCTACCAAATTAGCCTTTGCCTTGCTGGAGCTTTGAGGTCCTCCAGTCAATGCTACACACTTTTCATGTATCATGTATATACTCATTGGCTATTAACTATGTGTGCAAGGTAAGAAAATGAGCCCTTTAATGTAAGTGTTCTTTTTTTTTTTTTAGCTGAGCCATCCTGCCACCTGTTGGCAGCTCAGCAGCAGCTCAGCTCAGGCCTGGCATCGAACCGCTGTTGCTCAGAGCTCAAACTCTTGAGCGAGCTCTTAACCAACTGAGCCACTCGGTTGGCCCTTAATGTAGGTGTTCTTAACCCAGTGTCTGTGGATGGGCTTTGAATCCCCTGAGAATTATACACCAAGTGTTATATATGTATGACTATGTATATGAGAGGAGGAAGGTCACAGCTGTCATAAGATTCTCTAAGGAGTATATGACACTGCAGAAAAGATTAAGGGTCAGCTTATTAATGGTGGTTACCTCTGGTGTGGAGAGGACTTTGACTTTTGAGTATTTCATTTCTGTACTATGTGAATTTTTTACTACCGAGGCAGGGTGTTGTAAATATTGAAATATCAGATGGCATTTAGACTAGCTGATTGCTAAGGTCTCTTCTAAACGCTCGATTTGGAAATCCTTTCTTCGAATCCCCCATTGTTATTAAGTCTCCTGGATTGATTGTCCAGGTTAGGACCGTTCACACGCTGTGGCTCTTATTTTGTGTTCAAGATCTGTGCCAGGCCGTTCACAGTGTTTCGCTGGTGCCCCGGCGTCCGCATGCGCTTCAAGAAGACTGAAGTGTGCCAAACCTGCAGTAAATTGAAGAATGTCTGTCAGACCTGCCTCTTGGATCTAGAGTATGGTATGTTTGCCATGTCTAATAGATCTACAAGTGTGAGGTGCCCTAGACAACAAACCAGTTTTTTTGTCTCCCATGTCTGACCCTACCTCTGGTTCTGACCCCCCTTGGAATGTCTGTTGTGGTCTGCTTTTCTTAGTAAGAAGAGAGCCATACTAGGCCATTCTAGAGTTCTCCTGAACAACAGTAGGAAAAGTTGGAAATTAATCAGGACTGGCCTAAACCTCCCTCATGTACATCTGTGTAACCAAGGTGAGGTAGAGGCGTTGTTCGTGTGATAGGTAATTTCTTTGCCTTGGGCTTCTTTCTAGATCCAAAGCTTTCTTCCACAGTACCTGCCAAGAAGCTCATAGGCCAATTGTGCTTTAGGTTTTTGTCTTAACTGGGTTGTTAGGATTAATATACTGCCACTGTTTCAGAGTAACTGCTTTTGGAGTGATTTTCTTTTAAATGCAGGTGACTTCTTGTATGTGAGAAAAATATTTTTTCAACAAGAGTTTACTATACAATAAAGTAAAAGGGGAAAGGAAAATAGGGGTTTATATATGTTAAGTTCAGAAAGTTACTCTGCTAATCAGAGCCCTGGTCACATATTTATGTTTGTTAAGGAGGTATTCTGGTTCTGGAATACAGTGACCTCATATGAATGACTGTGACTATCCAGAGAATATGTAGGACTGGCCTAAAAATTAACTACGCTTTATGTTGTATTACATAAATAAATTGTATTACAATAAAAGCTAGATACATTATTAATTTACAGGCCAAATCTGACTATAACCAAAGTTTGTTCATCTAGAAGATTTTCTAAAACATTAGTTTCAACCAAAGTCAAGACAGCTCAGGAATTTGGACAATTTCTGAGAATGCTGTGGTACAAATAAGAAAGTGGAGAAGGGAAGAATGATATTGTGCATGTTCACTATGAATATTTTTAAATATACCTGAGGTTTTTCTCTGCTTTCCTTTGTACCAGGCCTCCCTATCCAGGTTCGTGATGCAGGATTGTCTTTTAAGGATGACATGCCAAAGTCAGATGTCAACAAAGAGTACTACACACAAAATATGGAGAGGGAGGTATGCTGCCACTTTCTTGTTGTAGTCTTATATTTGATAAAAGAATCCTAGTGGATCGACACAGTTTATACATTATAATTTATTTTTCGAATTTGTCATCCCTGTGTAGATTTCTAACTCTGATGGGACACGGCCAGTTGGCATGCTGGGGAAAGCCACATCCACCAGTGACATGCTGCTCAAACTGGCCCGGACCACACCCTACTACAGAAGGAATCGACCTCACATTTGCTCCTTCTGGGTGAAAGGAGAATGTAAGAGAGGAGAGGAGTGCCCATACAGGCAAGAGCTGAAGTGCATTTTCAGTATTTGATTGCAGATGATGAGTCATCTAAGAAGTAGGAGGTTCTAGCTTAGACTATTTCTGCTTTAACATCTAAAAGTTGATACAGCTAGTGTGGTACATCTCATGTCTTAAAACTGTTAAATTTAGAAGAGCTTGATTGAAGTGTTGTTTTTACATAGAACTTTTACTTAACAACTGAGCCTTGGGAAGCTAAATTGCTATGCCATATAATAAAAATATTGACCCTAAAAGTTTTTCCTTGAGATGTAAGTCCTCACTGTCATGGTAGAGCTGGCTTGAATCTCAATGTATAGTTAAACTAAGGCCAGGCATTTAAAGGGTATGTGAGTACGTTTCGGTCAAGACTGCCAGGCACCTGGATTAGGAGTTCTTAACTTGGAGTTGGTTACCCCACCTCTGCCAAAAAGAATTACCTATTCCCTTTTCTAGGGCTGGGTCCATAGCTTTAATCAGACTCTCAGTGGAATGCATACCTCATATGTTAAGAACCATTGACCTAGAGAGGGATAACCATGTTTTGGTTACCTTTTGTTTTGGGGTGGATCGTGCCAAAAGCATTACTGTATAAGGAAACACTGCCACCCTAAATGGCCATTTAAATGGCTTTTAGGAGGCTGGCAGTCCTTGTGTAATACAGTAAATCAGTTGATACTAACTCTGTTTTGATAATTATGTTTTGATATGGCCAAAGTTTTAGTTCAAAAAGCATTTCAGGGCACATATTTGGGACTTTTGTAGCTACTGTTGGGTGATACCTATAAATGTTTTTCCTTTGTTTCATCTTTATGCGTTGTTCCTTTCTTGAACCATAGACATGAAAAGCCTACAGATCCCGATGACCCCCTTGCTGATCAGAACATTAAAGACCGATATTATGGAATAAACGACCCTGTGGCAGATAAGCTTCTAAAGCGGGCTTCAACAATGCCTCGCCTGGACCCGCCAGAGGACAAGACTATCACTACACTCTATGTTGGTGGTCTGGGTGATACCATTACTGAGACAGATCTAAGGTTTGTGGATATAAACCTCTTATGAATTCTTTTTGCTTTTAACTGCCCTAGAATAAAATTATTTTTTTATT